GTGCAAATTTAAAATTTCTGGGCTGTATAAAAAGAAATTGGGCCTAACCATAGGTCTGGCCCAACGCTCATATGGGCTGAGCACACGCGGGCTGAAGGAAGGCCGGACGCGGGCTCGTGGGCTGAAGAGACAGAGGGAAAGTTCGGGTCGAACGCGGGCCAAGAAGCCCGCGCTGCTGAAGGCTGGGAGAAATTCAAAAAAAATAGCTATGCAGAGGCAAGGTTCGAACCCTTGACCTCGCGCAAAATGATGGACACAGTGACCGCTGCGCCACACGCCCAATTTACAAATTATAATGTAATCTCAGAATACTTAAACAAAATTAGAACCTGGAATCTGCACAAAAAAAACAGAGACAGAAACTGGAAAGACACAGAAGCTGAAAACCAAACAGCAGCTGAAAATACAACCAAAACTCGACGGGGATTGATCCCTCAGCAATTAGGTCCATAACTTCAAAATTTTACAACAAAATATAACCCAACTCAGACTTTAAAAAGTTTATAAAAATCGAGTTTTGAGACGAATAAACGGAAGGACATATAAGGCTCGAACGAAAACGAACAACCTAACTACGAATCGAATTAACAAAACGAGACATCGAAATAACACGAATTCAACACAGCAGCAACGAGACTCAATTAGTACGATAAACGAGAGTTCCGAAAATCCACGACTATAATACGAAACATAATCCAACCAACAAAATGATATACGAGCCAACGAATCAACCAAAAATCGATTCAAATAGTACGAATATAACCAAACGAGAACACACGAGTACGATTGCATCGAGAAGGTTCGCCGAATACCTATCTTCGGGAAATCTGGTTGGGAACAGACGGACGACGGACACGAACGGAATGAACTGTCCAACACCTCCAAGGTTCGGAACTCCTTGAATGCGTCACTGCTCACGAAAGGATGGGTGTTCTGGTGGCTGCGGGGCCTCACCTCGGCAATTGGCTCGACGGCGGCTCAAGCTCCTCGGCAATGGTCGCTGCCGGTAACACGCGAATAAAGTTGCGGGGTCTTTCCAACGGACTGGGGGTTGCTCGAGAATTCGGATAGACGTCGATTTCAGGCTCGCGCGGACGGTCGGATTCTCGAATGGTAAGTGCTCACCGGAATCAATGGTGAAGTGCGATTTGCTGTTGCAGGTCCGATGGCTACAGGGGGTGGATTTGGAAGAAGTCTGATATGAGTATTCTGGGATAAGGTCTCCACAATTGAATCTTAAGTAGAGTAAGAGCCAGATGCGCGAATCGTGCGAGAGATTATCGCGCCTGCAATTTGAATTGTACGACCTAGTCTCTTGCAGAGATGAGAACGGAGAAGAGGGACTCAATCGGTTATACGCACGCGAACAAAAGTTGTGGTATGTGGGCTGAGATGATTAAAAAATTTGGGCTAGGAGAATTTAACTCAACTGGGCCAAGAAAATAAAACAATGGTTGGACATTTATAACATTGGGCTGGAAAAGTATAATGGCATAAAGGCTTAGGGATTTAACTTCAACTAGACCGGAACCAGTTTAATCGGGCTTAAAGAAATACAACGCGATAAAAAGAATTCTGATCGACTCGACAGACGACGATAAACAAATTAATTCGGATTATCTATATTTATAATACACACCATATTAAAAATAATAATAATAATAATAAAATATGAATTTAGACAAATAATTACAATTTGACAAATAAAATATATATATAGACATTCAATTATAATAATAGTAATAATAATAATAATCACATTAGCAAATAATAATAATATAAGGAGCACGAATAATAATAAAGAAAATAAATAATAATATCAATAATCCACAATCGAATGGGGTATTACAGTCTATCCACCTTACAAAGAATTCTGTCCTCGGAATTCAAAAAAAATAAACTAGAAAGCAATAAAATACAAAGGGAAATCAGAACTCAAAGTTCGGATATCGCCTTCGAAGCTCGATCTCCTTCTCCCAAGTCGCCTCCGACTCGTCATGTCGGCTCCAAAGCACCTTCACCAAGCTCACTGCCCGGTTCCTCAACTGATGGACCTTCTGGTCCAAAATAGTTACCGGTACCTCCTCGTAAGTAAGGTCTCGCTCGACCTGCAGTTCGCCGAAGTCCACCACGTGACCGGGATCATGCACGTATCTCTGTAACATCGAGACGTGAAACACGTCATGTACGCCCAACAAGCTAGGTGGTAAAGCCAGCCGATAAGCCAAGTTCCCGACTCGGGCAAGGATCTCGAATGGCCCAATATAACGCGGTTTAAGCTTCCCCTTCTCCCCGAAGCGAATCACACCCTTCATGGGCGAGACCTTCAGGAAGATGTGATCTCCGACGGCATACTCGTGCTCATCCCTCTTCCGGTCGGCATAGACTTTCTGCCTCTCTTGGGCTGACCGTACATGGTTCTGGATAGCCTCAACTGTCTCCGCAGCTCTAAGAATGAACTCCGGACCCATGATCGTCCTATCCCCGACCTCATCCCAGTACAAGGGTGTTCGGACCTTACGTCCATTCAAAGCCTCGAATGGGACCAACTTGATCGTGGAGTGGTAACTATTGTTGTAAGTCAGCTCGACCAAAGGCAAGGCACTCTCCCAGGTTAGGCTACGGTCCAAGACCACAACCCTCAATATGTCTTTTTCCAAGTACTGGATCGTCCGCTCCGACTGACCGTCTGTCTGAGGATGAAAGGCTGTACTTAACTCCAGCCTCGTCCCCATGGCTTGGTGCAGGGTCTTCCAGAACTGGAAAGTGAACTTCGCATCTCGATCAGACACGATCTCCACGGGAACTCCATGAAGCTTGACAATCTCATCCACGAACAACTCGGCATACTAACTAGCCTTCATAGTTGTCCGGACTGGCAGAAAGTGGGTAAACTTCGTAAGGTGATCCACAATCACCCAAATAGAGTCATGCCCGGTCCTCGACCTTGGCAATCCCACTAAGAAATCCATGGTGATGCACTCCCACTTCCACAAGGGAACCTCAAGTGGTTGTAACATCCCTCTCGGTTTTTGATGCTCAGCCTTCACTTGCTGACATACCAGACACCCATTCACGAACCTTGCCACTTGCCACTTCATACCTCGCCACCAGAAAGACTTCCTCAAGTCCTGATACATTTTCGAACTACCAGGATGGACGGTGTACGGAGCACTATGGGCCTCTCTCAATTCTCCCTTCGCAATTCCCACACCTTCAGAACACAAAGTCTACCCTCGAAGACCAAGGCCCCATCAGATGCGATTGTGAATCCTCCAACTCTACCGGCTTCCGACAACTCCTTCATCCGGCAAAGGAAACGATCATTCGGTTGCTCGGCGACAATCCTCTCACGAAGATCGGTCCCACAACCAAAGAGGTCAACATACCCCTGGCTGTCGAAGGCAGCTCCACTGCATCTAGCTATAGTCGTTCGAACTCCCGAAGAAGGACATCTTGCTCGGTAAAAAGACAGGATAACTGGCCATAACTCCTCCGACTAAGGGCATCGACTACCACATTAGCTTTCCCAGGATGGTAGCTAATCCTGCAATCGTAGTCCTTGACCAGTTCCAACCACCTACGCTGTCGCATATTCAACTCCTTTTGAGTGAAAATGTACTTTAAGCTCTTGTGGTCGGTAAATATCTCACACTTGCCTCCATAGAGGTAGTGCCGCCAAATCTTCAAGGCATGAACGACTGCAGCTAACTCAAGATCGTGAGTGGGGTAGTTCTGCTCGTGAGGCTTCAGCTGCCTCGAAGCATAGGCTACGACCCTCCCATGCTGCATAAAGACACATCCCAAACCCATCTTCGAAGCGTCACTATAGATGGTGAACTCCAAAGTAGGATCAGGAATAGATAGAACAGGCGCGGTAGTGAGTCTCCTCTTCAACTCCTGGAAACTCTCCTCACACCTAGGACTCCAATCGAACCTCACGGCCTTCTTCGTAAGGTTGGTTAGTGGCTGGGCTATCTTCGAGAAACCCTCGATAAACCTCTGGTAGTATCCCACTAACCCCAGGAAACTACGAACATCAGCGGCACTTCTTGGCGTATCCCACTTGCTCACTGCCTCGATCTTGCTGGGATCCACCTCAATGCCTCTCGCTGTCACAATGTGGCCAAGGAATGCCACACGATCCCGCCAAAACTCGCACTTCGAGAACTTAGCATACAGTTTCTCGTGGCGAAGAGTCTCCAGCACAATCCTCAAATGCTCCTTGTGCTGGTCGATGCTCCGAGAATAAACCAAGATGTCGTCGATGAATACGATAATAAACTGGTCCAGGAAGGGATGAAAGACCCTATTCATAAGGTCCATAAACACGGCCGGGGCATTGCTGAGTCCGACTGGCATGACTACGAACTCATAGTGGCCATAACGGGTACGAAAAGCAGTCTTAGAAATATCCGACTCCCGGATCTTCAGCTGATGATAGCCAGAACGCAAGTCGATCTTAGAAAAGACACTGGCTCCCCTCAACTGGTCGAAGAGATCCTCAATGCGAGGAAGGGGATATTTGTTCTTGACTGTAAGGGCATTCAACTCCCGATAGTCAATACACATGCGCATCGATCCGTCTTTCTTCTTCACGAATAGGACGGGTGCTCCCCACGGCGAAACACTCAGACGAATGAAACCAAGATTGAGCAACTCTTGGATCTAGGCCTTGAGCTCTTGAAGCTCCTTCGGCGCCATACGATAAGGGGCCTTAGAAACAGGGCCGGCTCCTGGTACTAGATCAATGGTAAACTCTACTTGGCGGTCGGGCGGTCCTCCGGGCAATTCATCAGGAAAGACATCGAGGTACTCGCAGACAATAGAGACTCTCTCCGGGGACCTCTCAGAATCGTCCTCGGATATCATAGAAACCAGAAAGCCTTGACAACTACCCTTAGAAAGAGATGACTCGAGGCACAGTCCTCGACTTCACCCCATAGAAAATAACAGGCTGATTGGAAACGGGGAAGAGACTGACTTCGCGCTCCTGGCACCAGATATCGGCTCGATAGCGAAGTGAGCCAGTCCATGCCCAAGATCACATCGAAGTCCTGCATTTCAATAACATAGCAATCGGCCTCCAAAACACGCCCACCAATATTGACTGGAAGACTGGAAATCATAGAATCGGAAATAATAATCCTTCCCGAGGCTAGACTAACCTCGAGAGGGTCACAGTTGCACACATTATCAATAGACAGGGCCTCCAAGCATCGAGAGGAGATAAAGGAATGAGTAGCTCCAGCGTCACATAACGCAAAGATAGACACATTGGATAAAGAAATCATGCCAGACATGGTACCTGCGTTGTTGGCTGCCTCGTCATGAGAAAGGGTATAGACTCGGGCCTGACCCCCAGCCCTCTGCTGGTGTGGTGGGGGCTGCCTGTGCTGCTGCTGCTGCTGGTAAGGTGGAGGAGGAAGCTGCTGCTGCTGTTGCTGGGTATGCTGCCTCGGGGGCTCGGGACAAGCACTGAAGAAATCACCGGGCTTCATGCAGTTGAAGCAAACTCGCTGGGTGTACCGGCACTCTCCCGGATGATAACGACCACAGTTACGGCACCTCGGAAACTGGTCTCGTGCGAAGGGGCGCTCACCACGACGGTCACTCCCACCGCGCTTTCCCTTCCGGTTATCCCGGCGGGATTCAAACTTTCTCTTGCCTGAACTAGAGCCGGGCGGTACGGAGGAAATAGGCTGCACTAGCTGAGCGGAAGGGGCAGAAACATTGAGAGTTTGATAACTCTCAAGCTGGGTGGCTCGAATAACGGTCTCATCAAAGGAAAGATTCCCCTGGCTAGCAACATTCATACGGAGGGTTTGGTTCAGACCATCACGGAACTTGTGGGCCTTCTTCAAATCAGTGTCCACCATGTGTGGAGCAAAAGCGCTCATGCGGGTGAACTCCCGCTCGTACTCCTCAACGGTACTAGTCCCCTGAGTAAGATCCCAGAAAGCGCGCTCCATCCTCATGCGATAACCCTGAGGATAATACTTCTCCATGATCACCTCCTTCATGCGATCCCAAGTCAAGACATTAAGCTCCGCCTGCCTCAACCTCCAATAGCCGGACCACCATAAGGCATCACTTCCCTTAAGCATATAACGACCACAAATAACCTTCTGCTCGTCAGAGCACTGCAGGAGGTCAAAGTTCTTCTCTAACTAACGAATCCACTCCGCCACAGCCTCGGGCCCTTCAGTCCCATGAAATTCTGGCGCAGTTAGACTCCGGAACTGGAGCACGATTTTGAGATGAGCCCCAGCCGGATTGGGAGCCTGCTGGTGAGGTGGAGATGGGGATGGAGACGGAGGTGGAGACGGAGTAGGCTGACAGTTGTGAGCATTACGACGAGCCATAGTTCTACATTGAAAATGGGTCGAACAGTTAAACACAATAATAAAAGAAGTCTAGAGTTCAACACTAGAGTTCACATTTAAAGGTGGATTAGTCCTAACCCCGATTTCATTCCAATTATCAATAATCAACTAATATACATTAATCTCAAAGTCATTCAGGTACTCATACCTGAGCTGGCACGACACGACGAGAGCGAGTGGTCTTAACATGAATTCGGAACATAATCACATAATCAACTTTTATACTTAAACCAGTCTACAGAAACGCAGACTGGCTCTGATACCAAACTGTAACGCCCCACTTTTATTTACCGAAAATCAGAATAAATTTTTCGAATTTATTTAAAAAAACAATGTTTGAGGCGCTACTCATTTTAAAATCAATAATCAATACTCGACATTTTCTCAATATTCGGCAATTATCGATACTCATAATCAATAAGAAATCCCAATAATCAATCAATAATCCAATAATGCTCCTAGGGAAATAATCCCTATCAATAATCCAATACTAGAAAAACAATAGTCAATAATAATGCAATAATATCTAAGTTCCATTCAAAGCGGAAGCATTTATTCAAATTAAAGACCACCACTCGCATCCCCTCCGTCGTGCCGCTCTATCTAACCTGCATCCATGAAGAGCAGGTGGGGATGAGCACAAAGAAAACAGTAGTGCTCACCGCTATGCCATAAATGTTAATGTCAATAATCAACAGTAATCAGTAATCAAAAGGTATGTTCTCAGCATGTATACGAAGCAATAATCTATCCCATTCTCCCATCAATAATACAATAATCAGACTCATGTGCACACCTACGCATTGACTACTGCTGACTATATATCGAATGCCCTCTGGTCCTACATAGAGTGCCAGCCAGTAGGAGTAAACCACCCCACCGGCCAAGGTCTTGCCTTGGACTTACCAATGAGGATCACCGGTCGAGGGACTTAAGCCCTGGTCTTACGGCTTCTCAAGGGAGACTACCCGAAGGTACGTTCTATAGCTACGGGGACAACCGTCCGGTGGCCGATACAGCTCACACCGAAGGCTACATGATTCACATGCATACTTTGATCATACCACAAATTAAAACAGTAATAACATTTAAGGCATAGTAAATTTTACAATTACATCCCACCTGGAAATTTCGTTAGAAAATGGCACACAAAAGCAAGCACGTAGGATGAGGCTCGACTCCTCAAACACCTACATTTAAGCGAGATAATTTATTAATAATTTATCTCACTACTCGAATTTGACATAAAACCCATACTTAATAAAAATTAAGATTTACTGGTTTGAGTCGGATTTTTTTTTTTCGTGGACTTGGAACTCTCTCATTTTTGCAAAATAGGACTCGGAAAAATTAATTTGGAGTCTCGGGACTTAAAATAATTTTCTCAAATTTTTCTACTTTGAAAATAATTTTTAAAATCAAACTCTGTATTAAAACGGTCTTCCAGAACTCAAAATAGGCTTAAAAGTCAACTTGGGGTGCAAATTTAAAATTTCTCGACTGTATAAAAAGAAATTGGGCCTAAACATAGGTCTGGCCCAACGCTCATATAGGCTGAGCACACGCGGGCTGAAGGAAGGCCGGACGCGGGCTCGCGGCTGATGAGACAGAGGAAAAGGTTGGGCCGAACGCGGGCCAAGAAGCCCGCGCTGCTGAAGGCTGGAAGAAATTCGAAAAAAATAGCTATGCAGAGGCAAGGTTCGAACCCTTGACCTTGCGCGAAATGATGGACACAGTGACCGCTGCGCCACACGCCTGATTTACAAATTACAATGTAATCTCAGAATACTTAAACAAAAATTAAAACCTGGGATCTGCACAAAAAAACAGAGACAGAAACTGGAAAGACACAGAAGCTGAAAACCAAACAGCAGCTGAAAATACAAGCAAAACTCGACGGGGATCGATCCCTCAGCAATTAGGTCCATAACTTCAAAAGTTTACAACAAAATATAACCCAACTCAGACTTTGAAAAGTTTATAAAAATTGAGTTTTGAGACGAATAAACGGAAGAACATATAAGGCTTGAACGAAAACGAACAACCTAACGACGACTCGAATTAACAAAACGAGACATCGAAATAACACGAATTCAACACAGCAGCAACGAGACTCAATTAGTACGATAAATGAGAGTTCCAAAAATCCATGACAATAATACGAAACATAATCCAACCAACAAAATGATATACGAGCCAACGAATCAAACAAAAATCGATTCAAATAGTACGAATATAACCAAACGAGCACACACGAGTACGATTGCATCGAGAAGGTTCACCGAATACCTATCTTCGGGAAATCTTGTTGAGAACGGACAGACGACGGACACGAACGGAATGAACTGTCCAACTCCTCCAAGGTTCAGAACTCCTTGAATGCGTCGCTGCTCACGAAAGGATGGGTGTCCTGGTGGCTGCGGGGCCTCACCTCGACAATCGGCTCGACGGCGGCTGAAGCTCCCCTGCAATGGTGGCTGCCAGTAACACGCGAATAAAGTTGCGGGGTCTTTCCAACGGACTGGGGGTTGCTCGAGAATTCGGATAGACGTCGATTTCAGGCTCGCGCGGACGGTCGGATTCTCGATTGGTAAGTGCTCACCGGAATCAATGGTGAAGTGTGATTTGCTGTTGCAGGTCCGATGGCTACAGGGGGTGGATTTGGAAGAAGTCTGATATGAGTATTCTTGGATAAGGTCTCCACAATCGAATCTTAAGTAGAGTAAGAGCCAGATGCGTGAATCGTGCGAGAGATTATCGCGCCTGCAATTTGAATTGCACGACCTAGTCTCTTGCGGAGATGAGAACGGAGAAGAGGGACTCGATCGGTTATACACACGTGAACAAAAGTTGTGGTCTGTGGGCTGAGATGATTAAAAAATTTGGGCTAGGAGAATTTAACTCAACTTGGCCAAGAAAATAAAACAATGGTTGGACATTTATAACTTTGGGCTGGAAAAGTATAATGGCATAAAGGCTTAGGGATTTAACTTCAACTAGACCGGAACCAGTTTAATCAGGCTTAAAGAAATACAACGTGATGAAAAGAATTCTGATCGACTCGACAGACGACGATAAACAAATTAATTCGAATTATCTATATTTATAATACACACCATATTAATAATAATAATAATAATAATAATAATAATAATAATAATAATAATAATAATAATAATAATAATAATAAAATATGCATTTAGACAAATAATTACAATTTGACAAATAAATATATATATATATAGACATTCAAGTTTAATAATAGTAATAATAATAATCACATTAGCAAATAATAATAATATAAGGAGCACGAATAATAATAAAGAAAATAAATAATAATACCAATAATCCACAATCGAATGGGGTATTACACCGATCTTACACGCGCGTTCCGGCACTCAGCTGCTTTTCCTATTCCTGCGGGGTTTAGTCTTCGCGCTTTGCCTATTCCTACGAGGATTAGGCTTGTCACCTTGGTCTTGATTTGAGTGTAACACCCCACTCATCAGAGTCAAATTTTCGCATCTTCTTATTTTGAAAGTACTTATAAATTTTTTCAAAATCTTCTTAACTTAATTCGGAATGCTACTAAACTTATCTTCTTTAAAATCTGTCTTCTCAAACCTTGGTCTAACAACTAGCTAGATATAATAAAACAGATTTTACTTATCAATCATATATGGAAACTTAACTTGATAAATCATTTAAATTCAAAAAATACTATCATATATGTTCAATATCTAAAAGGCGTAGCGGAAATCTTATAAGC